AAGTGGATGTGCTTATGAAAATAATTATTTCTCTTTTTATAGCATAATAAAATGTGGTTTATTGACTGAAAAACAACAAATTTCTATTGCAAGTGCATCATTACAGGTTTTATTTGCGGTTATATGACAATATAGTAAAAATACTGTCCTAAAAAATTTACTATAACTAATGATTTATTGATCTTAAAATAAAAGTCCTTTGCGTACAGTATCTAAGTATTAAAAATATATTGTAATATAAAAAACACTTTTTTTTATTCCGACAAAATATATTTAGCTTCGTGTGCTTTGCTAAAACATTTACATCTTTGGAAGTTTCTTCTTGATTATAATTCTTCTAAAGTAACTAATGTTTCAGCGAAACATGCCAAATTTACTAGATTTTGTGGAATTTACTGGATTGTGCGGTGATATAATTTTGGAAACTTATCATGTTCTTTCCTTAAAATCTAACAACGCTTAACAAAAGACAAATCAACCAAGTCATGTCCACTGAGAGAAAAGTTCATAGGAGAATTAAGGGCAAAAAACGTGATTATTCGTCAGCGTTATTACATGAATACATTCCTCATAATATTCAAGATATGATGCAAAACCTCAGCAAGAGATACGTTTTCTCTGCTATAGAAAAGCTCGAACCACAGAGCAAAGGAGGTTTTTAAAAAGACATGCCACCGACGAGGACAAGTTCTCGCCAGACTTTCTAAGAAAAGTTCGACTCCTGCCAGCTGAACTTCTAAAGATACCCGGCGACGAACTTATTGATGAGCATTGGAATCTCTTTGAAACAATCCCATTAAAATATCGCAGACAATAAATAGCCTGAGTTCAATAAATAGACAATAAATAGAGTCGTTCCTAATAACATCTTCTTTAAGTGCCCTATCCTAATCGGAAGTTGGATATCATCATCACTATCTTTACTCTATCTACTGCTGCTCTTAAAAGTTCTATAGAATTGCATTTAAACCAGCCCCCTTAAATTCTTCAACCATAACACTCTCCTTCTTCCTATACTCCTTCCTTCCTATATATTTGGTCTTTTTTATGTTCATTTTTAGTCCATATTTTTTACAGAAACTGTTAGTTTTGTTTAGCTGTAATTGGAGTTGTTCAGCAGAGCTTGCCATAATCACACTGTCATCTGCACATCTTATGTTAATAGATCTTCCGTTAATTATTATTCCTTCACTTTGAGATAGTAATGCTTCTTCAAAAATGGCTTCACTATATACATTAAATAGTAATTGGGACATAATACATCCCTGCCTAACTCCCCTCCTGATTTCAATTTCTGGACTGGATTCGTTATCTATGACGATTTGTGCTCTTTGATTCCAGTAGAGGTTTATTATTATTCGTAAGTCCCTATAGTCTATGTTTTTGTCTTTAGAATTTTGACTAATTTTTCATGTCTTACTTTGTAAGATGCTTTTTCAAAATCAACGTAACAAATATGCACATTCATGCACATGCACACAACGCAACATTCATAATCCATGCATCTTTGAGCTAACAGATTAAAAGCAAATAACGCTTCTCTGGTTCCTAGTCCATTTCTGAAACCAAACTGACTATCATCTATTCCTTCTTCCATTTTTTTATTTATACGACCATGTATTATTTTCAGGAATAATTTGAGAATGTGACTTATTAGTGATATTGTTCTGTATTCACTGCAATATTTAGCGTTTGAATTTTTAGGGATAGCACAAAAGGTGGAGAGCAATCATTGTTTCGGCATGTGTCCTGTTTTGTATACTGAGTTAAATAAGTCTACTATAATGTCTCAAGGTTTCATAATTTATGCATTTTCAGATTTCTATAGGATTTGGTCTGGACCTACTGCTTTACCATTTTTGCTGTTTTTTAATGACAATTTAATTTCCTCTTTAAAACAATATCCTCTTCTACTTCTATCTCCATCTGCTCTGTTCTATTGTCTTTGAACAGTTCATTGATGTATTATGTCTATCTCTTTAATTTGTTGTTAGTATTCAACACAAGTTTCCCATTCCCGGTTATCTTGTTCTATTGTGCGTTAATTTTTTTATGTGTGTTAAAACTATCATGTCTTTTCTGGTATCCTTCTATTTAACCATTCTTATTTCGGTTTCTTAATTCTGTATTTTATTTGTTTATCCATTTTTTTGGACATCTGATTATCTTTGTTTTTATATTTACGCCTTCCAATAAATCAAAAATTTCTTCCGTCATCATTGCTTCTTTTTATATCTGGTTGGTATTAGAATTTCTTTTTAACTTTTATCTAATTCTGTCTTTATTAATAACCATTTTTTATCCGTCTCAGTATTTTGCAGAATTTGTTCTTTAACATTCATTAATCCGTTGTTGATTTCATCTGCCAGACGTTGCCTTGTGAGTTAGTTCCTTAATTTACTTGTATCGATTTTTGCATTTGTTGTTCTTGCAGAATCTGGATCGCTTTCATCGGTTCATCTTCAAGATTTGTTCTTATTTTGGCTGATTGGTTTCAGTATACATTTTGTATTATACGCCGGTCTTTATCATCCATTTGGGATTTTTTTATAACATCCATCATTTTTCGATGTTGAACTGTGTCAAATGCTTTTTGGTAGTCCACAAAGCAGGTGTAGATATGCCAAGTCATATCTCTGCATCTTTGGAATAGTACCTGTAGACTAAACAGTGCATCTCTCGTACCTAGGCCTTTCATGAATCCAAACTGTTTGTCTTGTATTCTCTCTTCGCATAGCTTGTATATTCTGCGATGTATAATTTTAAGAAAAAGTTTTAGTGTATTAGACTTATTAGCATGTCTCTTTTTCACTTTTTCGCTCCCTGTTTCCTTGGTAACGTAATAAATTCTAAAACTAGCCAATATTTTGGAATATCGCCTGTGTCATAGATATTATTGAAGATTTTACATAGTATTCTTAAATATTCCATCATCAAGGTTTAAGAAATTCAGACTGTACTCCGTCTGGTCCTAGAGCTCTTCCTTCTTTTAGTGATATTATGGCTGCTCTTATTTCTGCCACTAGTATAGGTGGTCCTGTTTCCGTAGGTATTGGGAAATGGTTCTCCCTCTCATCAAAAAATAAATTTCGTATGTAATTTTTCCAGGTATTATCAACACTCTTTTTGTCCACGATTACCTATCCGTTGTCATTAACAAGTTTACTTACTCTTTTGTTCTTACATTTGACTGTAATTTCTCTTAATTTTTTTATGCACGTTGAAGTCTTCGTCTCAACGTTGGAGTTTTCAGTCAAGAGATCCATCTGCTTCCATGACCAGAATGACCAAAGTGTCCAAAATATGAGTTTTCTATGTTATTATGTGCAGATTAGCTTTTGATCTTGACCTATTCTTTGTAAGACATTTTCGTTGGTAACTCGATGTGTCCACCTATCATCCTTCGGCAATACCACATTTCGAATTCTGTTATATGCGGCATTTATGGTGTAGCAGAGTATAAACAGAATAATGATAGATTTACAAGCAAATATCTGATAGAATATGGTATTTGAGATTAAAACGAAAATATGGAACAGTTAGAATCATGAATACATATGCCTCTACTGAAGAAACGGAGATAAAAATTAAAACCGAGCTCTACGAAAAATATATAATTTGATAGTTGATAGAAAAGATATCAAAATATAAGAAGATCTGAACGCAAGAGTAGAGAGAGAAAAACCATTGGACCTTTTAACCATTTCACATCAAAAGACCCGCTGTTTTTCGTCCAGCAGTGTATTTCGAAGAAAATTTTCGTTTGCACCGCTGTATCTGCAGATTTTTCAGAAAAACTACTTAAAATATAGGAGATATTTTAAAAAAGTATGTGCCAACTCGGAGGTTAGCAAACACGTTATAAAATACAAGTTTCGACGTGTACAGTGTATTCATTGAAGATGGCAATGAAATTATTAAATATCAGTAATTACTCAGAGAAAGTCCAAACCGTAATTTCTTTTCAACGCTTAACGATGTATTGTGTAGGCGTCCAAGTGGCCGTTAGGTTTTTCCAAATTAGACCCAAAAATTTCACTAAAATAACTAAATTCGAAGGTGAAAGACTTTGATAAGAAACTTTGATATCACAATAAAAATGTTTAGTGCTTAATGTATTTGATGTCTGATAATTAATTATTGATAACACGAGTTTACTTTATCATAGATGAATAGAAAAATGTCAATAAATAGGCACATACATTTATTACAGACTTAAGTCGATCTATTCTGCATTAGATTTATTTTCACTCATTTATTTTTCAAAGAAAGTATCATTAGCTCCACTGCTTCTTTTATTATATTGAGTTTGCAAAGTGTTTATTTACGAAAACCGTTTATATAATCGTTATATCTGTTTTTCAATCTTTACGTAAGAACCTCGATGTACTATCGAAAAATTATCATTATTCTTTTTGTCTGGATTCGTATATTATCTTGAATCATACTAATAATAACCCCTTTTAGACATAGCTTGAGATAATTTTATACCTCATTGGAGATCTACTATTGTACAGGAAAGATTATCTGGTTTCTCTATTAGCCATAGAGCAAGAGTTCGTCAATAAAATTATAGTATTATATAGTATTGTATAGTAGATTAAAATGGAGCTAAAATATTTCACGCACGCCAGTGCTGCTCAGCCTTGTGGGGGCTCTGCTTTCCCATATAATTTACATTGTTTATAAAATACATTGTTTATAATTAAAAAAAAAGTTTAATCTTTTGCATATTTTGGTAATAACAAATTGTTATCACCAAATTGATCGAAAGCCGTTGCTAGATACCTCTATCAAAGAGTGTCACGAAAAAGGTTTTTTTTTGCAAATTTCCCTGGTCTGTACGAGTATCATTAATATTTAATCCCCAAGTCTAACTATTATTAAGCCAAAAATTTAGTGTTTGTTATTAAAACATTATATAGCCCATATACTTGCTTTAAGTGACTTTAATTTTTAATCATCAAATATAGTATATTGAAATCGATGTTTTGTTTCAGCAGGAGTGCTTGGCACTAAGGGTGCCATGAAGGAAAAAAGTAAAAATGCAGCTAGGAGTAGAAGAGAAAAGGAAAATGCCGAATTTTTGGAGCTAGCAAAATTATTGCCACTTCCAGCTGCGATCACATCACAACTTGATAAAGCATCAGTTATTCGGTTGACTACTTCGTACCTTAAAATGAGACAAGTCTTTCCTGACGGTGAGTATTTATTTAAAATAGATTAAACACATAAATTTCGTTGTACGTCAGATTTCTTTTGTTAGTAGAGTAGGTATAAGTATAAAATGATATAAATCAGGGGTTCTCTTTAAGTTCTTTATGTGCCAAAGGTTGGAACCATCATATGATATGTTTCTTTGTTTTGTGCCGCATGAATTATATTTGTAGCTGCTGTTATTTGGAACCATTCACTTCAGTCGTTCAACCAGAATACTTTCTTTTTTCCTAACCCCATTCTTTCCTCAATCTTCAATCCTCAATGCAGCACTGGCTAACCATCTCAGAAATTGTTATGTTTTCACACGCCAAATAGCCATACTTGATGTGGGCTGTTTGATTTTAATATAGATTTTTAATAATCTAGACGTCCTTATAGTCGACAAAACAGACCTAAATATCTTTTTGTGGATCCAACTACTTTTGAAACAAGACTCTCACTTTCCAAAACCGTATGTAAAGACGAACTGTGTTTACTATAGTTTGTTCTAATTTTGTTCATATTCTGGAATGGATAATATGATAGAATACTTTAAGGGTGAGGCTCATTAAACATCTTAGAACTTGCTTCCTTGTAAGGTGTCACAAACGTAGACTTAAGCCAGTCCGATGGAAGTGGAACAGTGTCCTAGATATTATTGAATGGGTAGTTTCAGCATTACATTCAGGTTGTTCTCGTTATAAGTTATGGCTTTAGCTAACCACCTGAGCGACCCAGAAGAAACCCTCCAACACTACTTCTCAGAACTACCTAATCCAAAAGAAAACCGTGTGCTACCCAGTGTTTACAAATCATTGTCCCCATACACTTTGGAATCCCTTTTTTAAATACAAACCAATGACGTAATGTCCAAGAAATATAAAGAAATTGTGGACCATTCAAAAATAATGAATTTATTCCATACTTTTGCATTATACTGTATATAAATATGTGGGCATAATAAAAATATCTATTAAATATTGCAATGGTTAGTCACAAATATTCCACATTAATTCCAAATTTAAAACTTCAATTTTTTCTTCTTTCATTATCATTCAAGGCATTCATAAGCATTAAAATTCAATGTTATCTTTTCTAATCTACAGTTTCCTATATTAGTTTTGATATGTAAATGTATCTTAGTACATTGTATCACAAAATCTTTCAACACCATTCATCCACTGTTTTCAGCCGCATACTATCGTTGAATAAAATCTTTTCTCTTACCTTAGAAAGCGTCTGAGGAACCTTAAAAGAGATCTTGTGAATAAAAGGGTGACAATACTAATAGAGATTCTGATCTTGTAGGAATAAAGAACAAGATTCGACAGGGTTTTGTGCAAAATAAAACTTTACTTATTAAAATATGCCAGTTAAATGTTATATAAAAAAAGATAAAATAACAGCAAACAATATTACAATAGTTGATAACTTTGCAACTTAACTGATAGAACTTTCTAGATTTTTAATAGTTTTTCATTTTCGTCAAGAGACTGACTGAAGCCAACAGGGTAGATAATTTCCACGGTATGGAGTTAATCCCTCGATATGAACTATCTTGGGTTTACCTCTAGCAGAAAACTAAACGCGGTTAATTAGATCGTTTATTTTTCTGCAGGACCGTGTACGGGCCTTCCCAGTTAAGTTAAAGTTTCGTTCAAAGTCCTTTTTTACTTTTGGTATTGTATAACCTCTCTCAAAAGTTGTACCTGTAGCATGTGTAGCTTGGCTTTATCAATTCTTCTTCTTCCTATGCCGTCCCCATTAATGGAAGTTGGCGACCACATTTCTAAAAGTTTCTCTGTCTTTTGCAACGTGGAATAATTCGTCTACAATCATGTTTGTCCAGTCTCGAATATTTCGCAACCATGACTTCCTCTTTCTACCTATTCCCTTTTTGCTATCAACTCTACTCTGCTCGATGACCTGCAGAAGACTATATTTATCATTCCTCAGTTTGTGTCCAAGGTATGCAGTCTTGCGTACTTTTATTGTTCTCAACAATTTTTTATCTCGACCCATCCTTCTCAGCACTTCCTCATTGGTGACCCTGGCAGTCCATAGAATTCTCAACATTCTCCGGTATATCCAAAGTTCAAAGGCTTTTAACGTCCATGTTTCTACACCGTACAATAGTTGGGACCAGACGTAACATTCAACAAACCTGTCTCAGCGCAGTATTCAGATTTTTGTCACAGAACAATTGCTTGAATTTTAAGAACGCTGACCTTGCCATTTCTATTCGTACCCTGATCTCTTGGTCTGGATCTAATTCTGTGTTGATTTAAGCTCCCAGATATTTTTATTTTGTCACTCTCTATTTGCTGTCCACCAAAGGTTAGTTGTTCATTATTTATTGGACTCCTTGTTACTATCATAAATTTGATCTTATCTGTGTTGATGTCAGGTCCCATTTGAACGTATTCACTATTTATTGCATCTAGTAAAGTTTGTAGTTATTCATCACTTGAAAGCTACAAATTTTTACGAGCAAATTCGTAGACTTTTTCCAATTATTCTTTCAAATTTTTGATGTACGTCAGGGATGAACGTTCTTCTTCACAGGAAGGCGATCTTCCAAAAATAAGATCTTGAGAAGCTTTATTTTTCTTCTGGTGATCATTGTCGATAGAGAAGGACCGGTCGCTTTATGTTCGGAACTTCTATAGGCTGGTAGGAATAAAGGAGTTAAAGTACCACAATCTTTTTTATTATCAGTGACGAACATTGAAAGATATTTACAAACTGTTCTGTTATGTCTTTCTATCATTTCGTCTGGAGTGATGGAGATGCGTATGGCTACTTTTCTTAATATACAAAATTTTCATTAATTCTTGCCACAATTCTGATTCAAAATTTCGTCCCTTGATGAGAATGTAACTCTAAAGGAATTCTATGTCTTAATACGACGTATTTTATGAAATCTTCTGCTACTGTAGTCGCTTCTTGAATAGGATGGGGTGCAATTTTAGGCCATTTTGACAATTAATCCATTGCAACCATTCAGTACTCGTTTCCTCTCTCTATCATCGAAAGTCGACTCTATAGAATATCCACTGCAAGTCGTTCAAAAGGTTCTCCGAAAAGATATTGTGCCATTTATCACGACGTCCTATTCTCGGACCTTTTCTACCGTTACATAAATCGCATTCCTTGCACCAATATTCTACATATCGGCGACAATTCATCCAGTAAAATCTTGCACGTGCTCTTTTGATTTGAAAATCTCCTCTAGAAACTCTTCTCCTCTCCCACTTCCACAGGGATATAAGAAAGATAATGACTTACAAGTCATACATGAATGGCTTAAAAATGGAGTAAGACCTATTTGACAGGAAATAACTATATATAGTGGAACTATAAAGTACTGGGCTCAATTGGAATGTAATGGTGGCAATACGAGACTAGATACATCATCATTGGATGCTATTTGACATTTAGATTTAGACGAGCAGTTTTTACAATACATAAGTTTGAATTGCAACAATAATTAAACCGTGGTTCAGTGTGGAATCGGGAAGTTATTGTGGCTTTTTTACTAACCGCCTACATTCTCTTATTCTTCTTCTTCCTTCTTGTATTAGCGTCTTGGCTTAACGAGTCACCCTGTCTGTGTTACTTTTCCATTAACTTTGCCTGTATTCGATTATAGAAGTAGATCTTTTCAATAGTTTGTATAATATTGATTAATAGGTATGTTTCTTTTATACAGTAGGTCTCCTTTCTTGAACATCGGTACATTAGTACATTAGTTTTGAACATTAGTTTTTGTATTCTCTAGGGTTATACTTTCTCCTCCGTGTTTTAGAAGCCTTTAAAAGCTCGTTGGCTAATTCCGTCTGGTCCTGGTGCCTTTCTATTTTTGAGTGAATTTATCTCCAAATATAATTTTATAGATAATTAAATTTAATTATAGATTCCAATTAAACTTGGAAAACTTGCACTAAACACTAAACATAAGATAATCATATCAATTATATCAAGCAAAAGTTTTACTGGAAATTTAATTTTAGGTTTGGGAGATGCCTGGGGAGCCACGCCAGTTATTCCAAACCCCAGGGAGGCACCGATCAAAGAACTAGGATCGTATCTGTTGCAGACCTTAGATGGTTTTATTTTTGTAGTAGCTCACGACGGGAAAATCATGTACATATCAGAAACAGCCTCTGTTCATTTAGGATTATCACAGGTAAGAGACACATACAATGTACCTAGATAGTACTTTATATTAAGAATGGATTCTAGAGTTATTACTTTGCATCATTATACAGCTTTCGATGGTAAAAATGGGACTATAAGGAATTGACCAAAAGCTTTAAAGTAATTTTATTGAACAAATTCAAGTTTTTTTAAGTTTTCTTCAAGTTTCAATTATTGATTTTTAAATAATACCAACTTATTATTTTGCACTCTTATTCTTTCTTATTTTCAAATTTACAGCTCTCTAATGCAAATTAATTAATTAATTTATTTATCAAATAAGTAGATAATAAGTAATATAAAATTTATATATAAAAAAAGAAAAATCAGTGAAAAATTCGAACTCTGATTGTCCAGGTCCAAAAGTGACACTTGTATTTGGTAGTGGGAAGGCCGCGTGGTCAATAAACCCCGTGCATTAGAACTTTATACTCGATTGAATAATAATGCTGTATGGTAGTACCAAAATACAAAAATTACTTATTAATAGCTTGTCCCCTTTTTTACTTATTACTCATTTAAAAATAATTATAAAGTAACTATGTTTTCTGGACTTTCTTCACGTCTTTTTTCCCAGGTAGAACTGACGGGGAACAGTATTTACGAATACATCCACCCCGCAGACCACGACGAGATGACAGCTGTACTTACACCCACGCTTTACCCTCCAGGGATCGCCCCCCTACAAGAACACGAAAGTGAGCGAGCTTTTTTCCTGAGGATGAAGTGTGTCTTAGCCAAACGAAACGCAGGGTTGACGAATAGTGGTTATAAAGTAAGACATATTTATATACTTAAAACGCTTAATTTTTTAGAATAGGAATGTAGAAATAGTTAACCGATTGGTTTAGGGATATGGGTTAGTTGCAGACAATTTTATTTATAAACGATACAATAAAATTTATCAATCGTTAATCATTTCTGAATGACTTAGCTGAACTAACTATATTCAATAAAACTCAATGTATAAACCAATATATTTTACAGAAGCAAATAATAAATCTTTAAAACCATATTATCTTCAGACTAAATCCACTAAATTAATTCATAGGAGCTAAAACGTGACTATAACAAAAGAATGCGATGGCCCTCTTTGCAAAGCTGACAAACTATCGATAATGGGGTAGGTTAGTAGTATTTTACATGAATTATCACTTTCTTTCTATACCAGGGAGTAACCTAGATGGCATTAACTATTAAATGTCACGTTGTATTGCAATATTGCAATATTCTAACGTTGATAGAAAAAAAGGAGAAATATCGGCCAAAATGTAGTTAGCTCGAATAAATACTACTAAAGAGGTCCTGCAAAAGTTTTCTTTTTTAGTTAAATATTGTATTATTGATTAAACCTCAATATCATCGTTATTTATGGAATAAATTATGACGAAAGAGCAGCTAGGGGATCTGAATGGTCGTGTGAATGTAAGAGATGAACATACCCAAGATGTATTAGGACTATATGGAGAAGAAATAAAAAATGACAATGCAGAGACATATGACAAAATGATATATGCAGAGAAAATAATTTAATAATAATGAACACATTTTTTAAACAAAAAGATGTACATAAAGATACAAGAGAAGTCAAAAGTAGAGGAGAAAGATCCATCATAGACTATGTGCTAGTAAATAGATCATCGAGGCAATGTATTAAAGACGTAAGAGTAAAACGACAAGCCGAAATATATAGTGACCACAATCTAGTTGTAGCCAGGATCAGCTTGGGAGTGTGACAAGAATCAATAACGAAAGAGACCAATAAAACAAGTAAAGCTCATGATACACCCACTACAGAAGTAATCAGGTCACATAAGATAGCAGACAAGGAAACAGCAAACAAGTTTGAAAACTACGTTAATAACTACCAGACCACGCTGGCTAAACAGAACACGCTGAACATGACTGTGACTTGGACCAAAATTGGAAAATACTGAAAGAAGCACTGTGGTAAACAAGTATGCGGAATAACAAGAAATAACAGAAGAAAAAAGTGTACAAACTGGTGGAACAATGAAGTAAAAGCAGAAGTTAAGTCCAAGAACATAGCTTGGAAAAATTATTTAAGGAACGGAACCGCAGACAACTACCAAATATACAAACTGCAAAGAATCAAAGTCAAAGATGTGGTACTAGCAGCGAAAGGGAAAAGTGGGGAAGGATTCGGAAACAAGATGGAAAAAGACTATCACTCTAACGAAAAGTTATTCTTTAAAACCCTGAAGAATTTAAGAACCGAAAAGGCTCCACAAACACCAAAGCAAATAAGGGACAAAGAAGGACACTTACTGCATGGGAATGAGCACATCCTAGATAGATGGAAGCAATATTTCGAGGATCTACTAAATATCCAAAATGATGTAGACATTATCACTAAAGAACCAGAAGAAGTAGAGTAAGAAGACCAAATTCAAGACGAAATAACTATAGCAGAATCAAAAGAAAACATACAAAAGTTTAAGAAAGGTAAGGCGGCTGGATTTGATAAAATCACAGTAGAAATTCTTTAAAAAATGGGCGACAAGGGCATTAAACTGCTAACAAAAAGTATGTAATAGGGCATGGAGTGAGAGCCAAATACCAAAAGATTGGGAAGTGGGAGTTATTCTACCCATTTTCAAAAATGGAAACAGACGCGAATGTAGCAACTACAGAGGAATAACACTACTGAGCATCCCATCCAAAGTATATGAGAGAATACGAGAAAAACGCCTTTTACAAGAAGTTGATTCTAAAATGGAACAATCATAGAGTGGATTTAAAAAAGGCAGAAGCATCCAAAATCACATTTTTACTATCCAAAAAACTAATACAAAACACACGGAACTCAAGCACGGAGTTATACCAAGCCTTTATAGACTTAGAAAAGGCATTTGATAGTACTCCAAGGAAGGTGATAGACATATGTTTAAAAAAGAAAAAGTACACGTATGACTCACTACCTGATTTACATTTACATGAACTTTATTCTGCTGTCAAACATTAAGAAATATATTGTATTCACTTCTGTAATCCCAAATAATGACAGTAAACGGTTCCCGGTTATACAGATAAATACTGACTGCCACTGCGGTCATAAATTCATGTTCTGAATAAAAAAGAGTAAGAAAACCCACATCTCAATTGCAGATTCATCTCAACAATACCATGAATATGCTACACAAACAAAATCACGTGTGTATTCCTCTTGATTTCACAAATACTAATAACTAGACCCTAATTGAATTATAATTAACAAAAATTACCATTCTGTCTTTACAAAATTGCCCATTACTAATTGCTAATTGCCTTTCATGTCCCACATGAAAGGAATGGGGTATTGTCGCATGCGGAAAGCATATGTGAAGTGTTGCCGAGTAACATGGATGCATATTCACAGCTCATTATTGTTAATAGGCGTGCATAGATGTGATTAATGCTGCTGAACGGAGGAATTGTTAGGTTTTTCGATGTTTTTCTTTGTGTTGCAATTTTAGCGAAACAATTATAAATAAAAGTACATAAATCAATTCTATTTCGCAACAATCACATAATTTTTATCTTTCATTTCAAGTGTAAAAAAGTATTTTTATGAATTTAGAATTCTAGTTTGCCCGGAGACCATGCCGAGAGCTAAAGCACTGTTCTCTTTTCAAACATGTTAGCTAAAGATTCTCTAAATTTGGTACTAGAAGTAACCAGCAATTAGGTTTAATTTAACTAAAGAAGAAATAAGACCCATATCATTACATTTTTTTACCTTTTACCTTTTTTTATAGGTTATCCATTGTTCAGGCTATCTAAAGGTGAAACCTTTGACGGCAGGTTCAGGTCCATATGACACCAGCTATTGCCAAATCATGGGACTCGTTGCAGTAGGCCATTCCTTACCTCCCAGCTCCATCACAGAAATCAAATTACACACTAACATGTTTATGTTTAGGGCTAGTTTAGATTTAAAGCTGATCTTTCTAGATGCAAGGTAAGTGGATTTTAACGTTTAAAATGTTGTAGAGTACATAATACTTTTTACAAATGTACATAGGGTATTTAAAACTGTTTTAATATTTATTTAAGATATAAACAATGCAAGATAATTTAGATTTAAAGTCAGTAGAGGAAATTACTCTCGATCCAATAAGACTCTAGTGCTTTGAGTCATATCCAGTTTCAATTTCTTCTCATTTTGTTATGATTATGTGTACATTGTAGCCTTTACAATTTCATTGATTTTGTGGTGTATATTGAAATCATCTCGTATATGAAATATATTGAAATTTCCTTATATATGTTTAAAAATTAAAACGAAGAATTTTTTCCGTGTTTGTTAGTTCGTATCTTTCAAGTTAACACACGCAAAAGTGTTTTCAATAATTGTATTTGCATTGCTGGAAGTTAATAAAACCATTTCAGAGTTGTTTATTATTTTAAAGTTATTTACTTCGGCAATTTCTTTTAATGTTTTATTTGAAGTCGTCTTATAATTTTTATACGTCGCAAAAGGATATCTACGTCGTTTCGTTTGTGTTTTGGTAATTTCAGCGTTTTGTTTGTTTTCAATTTATATGAATGAATTTTTAAGTTAAGAATTCAGATAAGGATCTAATATGTATCGGACCGGTTGTAAATAATAAACACAGTATAGGAAATACTACCGACTTTAATGATCACTCCAAAACGTAATGCAAATAACATTATACATTAAATAGGTCATCGTCGCGTCTGTATTCCTGAGTGTTTTCACAGCTGATTGTGACGTAACCGCACTGCAGGGTTGCCAATACATCACACCCCTCCCTCCTGGATGAATCTACTCATCATAGTCCTCCAAATACCTTGGAGGTTTTCTTATTCGAGCAGGTGGCTTTTTAACTTCAGCGGCGTGCTCTACAATTTCTGGTTCTTGGTCCACAAATTCGTTGGGATGCAGAAACAACGGTTGCGGAGTTACGAGTAATTTTTTTTCCATCGAGGTTGACGGTGTAACTTCGTCTGTTGTTTCTTGGTCACACACACGGGTTCTGATTTGGTCAGAATGACGACGTAAAATTTTACCATCTGGGGTTTGAACTTTGTAGCTTAACGGTCCAGTGGTTTCAATTATTTTGGAAGGAAGCCACTTTTGACCACCTGGAGCAAATGACCTTGCAAATACAGTGTCGTTTTCTTGAAAACATCTGGGTACTGTTTTGTAAGAATCGTTCATCTCTTGCTTAGATAACATCTCTTTTCTAAAGTCGGGCTGTAAACGATCAAATAATGAGCCCAATTTTCTCCCCATTAATATTTCTGATGGGCATCTCCCTGTTGTGCAATGGGGTGTAATGTGCTGAGTAAGGAGATATCTGTGCAATGCTAACTGTATTTTAGTTTCTTCATTACTATCTGTCATTTTTTTAAGTGCATTTTTTACATTTTGTACCATGCGTTCCGCTTGCCCATTACTACTTGGATGGTATGGTGCAACCAATGCTTGTCTAATAAGGTTTTTCTTTAAAAAATCTTGAAACTCAGCTGACGTAAAACAAGTTCCGTTATCAGATACGACGACATCTGGGATGCCGTGAGTGGCAAATAAACCCCGTAATACATCTATAGTCACAACACTAGAGGTATTTGGAACGATTTTAACCTCCAGCCACTTCGAGTACGAGTCTATGATAATCAGAAACATTTTGCCTTTAAATGGACCGGCAAAATCGAGGTGTATTCTTGTCCATGGAGCTCTGGCCCACTCCCACGGATGGATTGGAGCCTTTTTTGGCATGTTTCTAGACTCCTGGCACTCGCTGCATGTATTTACTAGCTGTTCGATTTGTTTGTCGAGATTTGGCCACCAAACATATGAGCGTGCCAGTGACTTCATTTTTACGATTCCGGGGTGTGCTGAGTGTAGCAAATTCAGTATTGTTTTCCTCCCTCCAAGTGGAACTATTACCCTTGTACCCCATAACAGGCAGTCTTGATAACAGCTAATTTCGTTTTTACGTAATAGATAAGGAGTATATTCGTCTGAAAATTTAATTTTCTCATCAGGCCAACCTTTCCAAGCCCACTGCAAAACTTTAGATAACACTGGGTCTTTCTTAGTCTCATTGGCAATGTCTTTGGCACAGATTAGTTTTTCTGGGATGTTCTCAAGCATCAAAACGTCATCTGAGCTTGGTGGTTCTGGCGCATGTACCTTTTGTGGCAATCTGCTAAGAGCATCTGCATTCTGAATTTTTGAACCTGGTACGTAACATAATTCATAATCATAAGCAGATAACATAAGAGCCCATCTAAGCATTCTGGGTGACAGTATCTCTGGAACACCCTTTTTCGGATTAAAAATACCCAACAATGGTTTATGGTCCGTTCTTATGCCTATTTTCCTGCCATATACATATTCGTGGAATTTTTTAATGCCCGATATTATGGCCAGTGCTTCCTTGTCGATTTGGGAGAAATTTCGTTCAGTAGATGATAGAGTACGACTATGGTACGCCACTGGATATTCACGTCCTTCATCATCACGTTGACTAAGCACACAACCTACCCCGTAAGGACTGGCATCACACGTCAAAAATAAATCTTTTTGTTCATTGTAATGCCCTAACACAGGTTCTTTCGCTAAAATTTCTTTTAGTAAATCGAAAGCTTTTTGTTCTATAAAACGCCACTGCCAGGGAACGTCTTTTCGGAGCAGTGCATGTAACGGATTCGCAATTGTTGCTTTGTCCTTTAGAAAAACATGATAAAAATTTAAAAGTCCAAGAAAAGCTTGCAACTCGGTTTTATTGGTTGGCGCAGGCGCATTAGTTAGGGCCGCGATTTTGTCTTTAGTGGGGCGTAAACCGTCTTCACTAATTTGAAAACCGAGAAACTCTATAGTTTTTGTTCGAAAAACGCACTTTTCTTTGCGCAAATGCAGTCCGTCTTCCTGGAAACGCGATAATACCGCGCGCACTTTTGAATCCAAGTCGGTTTCTGAGCGACCAACTATTAAAATGTCATCGTAATAAGGTAGTACACCAGGAATACCCGTTAATCGAGTGTCTATGAATTTTTGAAAAATTTGTGGAGCCACTGATATACCGAACTGTAAACGATTGCATTTAAAAGCTCCTTTATGCGTAATTATTGTTTGTGCTTCAGCAGCTTCGCGGTTGACACTTAACTGCAGATAAGCTTGCGCCATGTCCAGTTTTGCAAAAACTTTACCGCCCGCAAGTGTGGATAAGATACCCTGTACCGATGGCACTGAATAAGGTTCCGGATTTAACGCTAAATTCAATGTGGATTTGTAGTCACCACAAATCCTAACCTCACCGTTTTCTTTGCAAACAGTCACAATTGGGGTGCACCATTTTGGGTGCGTAATCGGCTCTAAAACCCCTTTCGCAATAAGCCTGTCCAGTTCAACTTCGATTTTATCTTTTAGCGCAAATGGAACTTTACGAGCTTTACACATAACCGGCTTTACATTTTTGTCCAACGAAAAACTTACTGGGGGACCCCGGTAAGACCCCAAATCTGTATTAAATACATCTGGGTATTCTTCTGTATAATTTATCATTGATAAAATTTGACTTACCCCAGCTATGGTTAAACCTAAACTATCAAACCAGTTTCTGCCGAGTAGACTGGCACGATTTCCTTCCGTGACTATGAGAGGAAGTGTCGCTGATCTTGGACCTCTCTTCACCTCCACTTGACACTTACCCAGTGTGGGTATCACTGTGTTTTGATAGTCCCTTAGAATAACACTGGATTTATCTATTTTAGGTCGATTTTCACTAAAGATTTCATGGTAGGTTGATTTGCTTATCACTGAATAACTCGCGCCCGAGTCAACCTCCATTCTTACCTTTTGGTCATTGAGTAGCACATCTACTAAATATTTACCGGTAATGCTATCAGACGTCACGTTATTTAACATAAATTCATAGTCACTACTTTGATAAAAAACACTCTGAGTGTTCCCCGAAACCGGCTCGGTATTGGACGTAGATTCCACGGTAGTCTGATGTACTTTGCGTTTGTAATTTTGGTTCTTCTTTTTTGCAAAACAAGCTATTTCGATGTGTCCAACTTTCCTGCAATATGCACAGGTTGATTTAATGTGTTCACAAGTTTCGGGAGAATGTTCTTTTTCGCACCGAAAACATTTCTTCCTTTCGCGATTAGCTAATTGTTTGAACTGGCCCGGTTGATTTTTACGAAAACTTACCGCGTTTACATCTGCGCTCGACTCAGTTTCTCGTAGAACTGCCAAACTTTCCACGGCCACCTCGTGTGCAAGGCACAGGTCTTGCGCGTCCTTAAGTTTTAACTTATCTGTGGCTAGCAACTTTTGCTGTAGCGATTCGTCGGTAATACCACAAACGAGTCGGTCACGTAGCATTATGTCAAGGCTAGTTCCGAAACCACAGGGTTCTGCCAATTTTCGTAATTCCTTCAGATACACAGATATTGTTTCACCAGTCTGTTGATTCCGACGATAGAACTTAAACCTGCACACAATTTCCGACGTTTTTGGAGAAAAATGCTTTTTTAATTCAACTATGATTTGGTCATAAGTTTTATCAGACACTTTGGACGGCGCGACCAAAGATCTAATAATCTCATATGTATTGGGACCACACAAACTTAAAAATGTAGCTTTTTTCCTATCAGGGTCTGTAATGTTATTTGTCAAGAAGAAAAAATCCATACGCTCGACGTATGATTCCCAACCTTTGGAGTCACCCACGTTAAACTGTTCGATGTTTCCGAATGCCGCCATCCTGCACACACTTTGCTTTATTTATCACCGGGACGAAATAATGCACTTAAACTGGCACACACACGGATCCCATCCTCGTCGCCAAATAATATGTATCGGACCGGTTGTAAATAATAAACACAGTATAGGAAATACTACCGACTTTAATGATCACTCCAAAACGTAATGCAAATAACATTATACATTAAATAGGTCATCGTCGCGTCTGTATTCCT